AAAAGCGACACTTGCGTAATAAAGCCTGAGAATACAGCACTGATCATTAGACATGATTAGTAGCTCCATCACTTCATAACAGTATTTCCCATCATACTTCAATGTAGCCAACCCTGAGAATATCTCCACCACGTTGGACGAAGTAACAACAGCGGGACGATTGAGGAGGTAGTCAGCACACATCGAAGTGATCGGGTAGAAGTCGGTCGCCCCCAGGGCCTTCAAAACACCCTCAGGGGATGCTGACAGGGCCACGCGAAATGACCCTAGGCTTTTGAGGACGCTTTCTACCCACGCCCGTATCACTGAGTTTAATATAGGTCATAATGAGAGGCATGAGTGAATCCATATTCAACGTGCAAGCCGCTTGCCGAATGCTCGCCGTCAAGCATGCGAGCGTCTGAGATGAGACTTCTTTCACAGTGGATCCTGCCCGATGACCCCACCTGGGCATCCAGGAGCTCCACTGAATTGAGGCTACCGACGACCATACTCAGGTCACGAACACGGAAGCTGGCAGTGACGCTATTACAACACAGTTCCCGACGGAGGTCTCGCCTGAGGTGGAGATAGTGAATCGCCTGAAGAGTCGCTTAAAGACGACGGCTGACGAGGTATGCTCAGTACGCTAATCCACTGTCAAGTTCGAACCATCGTATTAGACTATTTCTCAGCTAATAACTGCAATCGATTTACGGATACATACCGTCATCACGCATGCACCAAGTGAGAAGCAGCACCCACGAGAAGCGCCCAGTAGCTGAATGATACTCGTGTTCCCGACATACCAAAAATCCCTATCTTCATACCGCGCCTTCGTCATGTAATGGATAACCATAGAGATCTCCGCCGGCCGCATGAGCTGCATGTAGGCGAGCAAGTCTCGGGCATCCTCCTTAGTCACCCTAGGAGCTCCATTCACGTGGCATTGCTTGTCCGTTATCCTTCGCACGAGGTTTTCTACACGTTTCACTGGATCAAGGAATTCACTGCTCGCCGACACTAGCGTCCGCCGACCCTGGACGATAGTTATTCGCGGTAGTAATGATCGACAAAATGCCATGTGTTGAAAAACGATTGTGGCAATATTCTCATTGTAGTGTACGCAACAACAACAACAACATAGTCATAGTTACATTGAAACTTTACAACAGGTGTAATAATGTGGAGAACTGAGTACCTAGTACCACTCAGTCGATATCGAGCTCCATCAACCCGGGCATATCCGAATACTCATCATCATCATCGTCATCATCCTCCTCCGTAGTGATGCTCATCTGAATGTAATCATCGACTCCTACAGGTCTCTACACGGCTTCTACAGCTCCCTTCCTCTCAACTGAGTACTGCTGCTCGCCCTGCTCCCCCTCAGCCAACCTTCGGCGCGGCTGTCGGCTCTCACTAGATGACCGTGATCGACTCCGCCGTTGAGCTTGGTTGAAGGGCGTCCACTCCGGCATCACACGGCAGTTATCCTATCACACAATAATAGACAACAAAGTCGTCGTCCACATTCGTCATACCATTCTCACGCCAACTTCTCCCGAATTGCCTCCCACCCCCACCATACCGGTGTCCTCACCAGTCGAGGGTCGCCGATACTGTGGAATGAACGAATCCGATGTAGTAACAGGGAGGACCCCATCGGGCGGCTCTTCTCCACGTAGTTTGTAAATGAAGTCCACAGCCACCCGCTCGTTAGCAGCTCTTCCCAACGAATCGACTTTGTCTAGAGAATACCTAAACACCCTTTAACCCAATGAACCCTTCGATGCAGGTCGTACTTGGTGTATTTATCTGGCTGGGTGACGAAACCAGGAATTTTTATTCCCGAAGTCAATTTCGCCAATCCACCCTTGGGCTTGGGGCCACTGATGAAAGGCATATATAAACCAACAAGTGAGATTCATTTACCCCAAGAGATCAGCATCATACTCCATCTCGTCACTGTCCGAGTTCTGGAATATGTCCGTATTAGATTCGGCATTCTTGAGCGGATCCTCAACGGCCGCTAACCTACCACCACCCTAGCCATCACCAAAGGCCTTCCATCACTACCGAGCCTTCTCCCTCACTTGGTCGTCAGTCATGCTGGTAATGTACTCCTCAGGGTTCACTGGTACTTCGGTGGTAGCCTGTCGAGCTTCCACGAGAGAGTCCAGACTGGCAAAATGACCCTGACGGTCGAGCCCGGACACTTCGAACAATGATCTCCCAGACATGAAGAATCAACTAAGGGGAGAAGGAATCGGTTGTTAGAATAACATGCACTCCGTCCAGGCGATGATTGATATGCACTTTGACACAAGTGAACGCTCGGTGGGATACTCGGAACCATAATGCTCCTTTGTGAACGAACTACGGTACTACGTTATAACGATACTTATGCCGTCAATAGTACAGCGTATTCCACTGTGGGAGGGATATGGAGGAAGAGAAGGAGGAAAAACGACACTGTCACTGCAAACTAGACACGTGACCGTGGTGAATTGTTATTCCTTGGAGATTCACTCGCTCTTTCTGTTATTTTTCTTCCCAGAAGCCGACAGCGGGTGTTGATTCCGAGCCGACGCAGCACGAGGAGACAAAACAGCCTTCTTACTATCCAAGTCTATAGCCGACAGGTTGGCTTGGATATCTCTACTCTGTCCAGTGGAGAGGATGAATAAACCAATCTTAAGGATCATGACGAACCTGAGGGGCACGTGGGCCGACAGCAGTCTCTATTGCAGATGACTATTGCACTACCAGTAAGTGTTCATGACCAGCATTACGCACAGAAGGGTGACGAGGAAACTCCAGTACTCCTGTATTTCCTCCGGGGCCATCCTAGGTGCCTCGATCCACACGGAACGGAACAAGTACCTGAGCGCGAGCATCAGTGATGAATCATTATAAACAGGTGGTGAAGTACCCTATGAAGATGTAAAGTCTGCCATAGAAATAGGTTAACGCTAGAGGGATGTATATGAGTATCCCACCGGACCAGGGTGTGTCCACTAGCGACTTAGCCATATACACTGACAGTAAGGAATGGTGAATTACAGGACGAGTGGTACTCACCAATAACATCAGGGGCGAAGTTGGAGAGCATCACCAAGGACCCCATTCGGACGTAGTTGCCGAGGTAGGAGCATACGGTGAGCAATAGGACCTATGAGTGTGGCAGAGTTACGGCTCGAGGGTATATGAGAACTCACCAGGGAGTTGTGTAACATAAGCTCCGTAAAATCCGGGCGATCGCGTTCCCGAATCATATGGGTTGCAGCCTCACACATAAGATATCCTATGACGGCCTGAGGTTGAAACTTAAAGATACAAAGTAGGTCCGCGAATGAGCCTACCTGGTAGGTCCTAGTAAGAGCGGGAACAGGCGGCTGGAAGGGGAAACCGTTGGTCCAACAATAGACTGTGAATCCTCTGACAAGCATTGGCTCGGGGACGAATGATTCTGTATAAGGTACTTACTGTCCACCCATGACCGGTGGGAGCCAAGGTTGGTCACGGAGCACTACGAGTAGGATTAAAGTGAATGAGAGGTGAACGAATAGCTTGTATACTGAGTTGGAGAACCTCCCCACCTAAGTACAGTAAGTTCACAGGAGTGTGGTAAGCATTGTCGTAAATACTTTAGCGGCCCACACCTCCAAAGACCAGGATGCCGTCCTAGGGATAATCCTATATCCAATGGTCGTCAGTACCTACTCCAGCTACTACCAGTATACGATCTAATATTAAACATAAAAAATATCAATCATAATTGCTGTAGATATGAGTATATACAATAGTGTCAAAATGCTATTATACCATTTAGTATATAACAATATATAACTATAGTAAATAATCAATGTATAATACGTCCTCCTACATCGCGGACATCGGCAGTTTGCATATGTGTTTTGACCCACCCCAACGTCCTCTATTCCTCTCGAATACTACCTTCCTTGAGAAGTGTTGTACAAGTGCGAATAGCAGAGCCCATAAGACCGACAAAAACAAATCAGTCATCTGCGGGTAGGTATCGGGCTTAAGGGCCTGCCTCTCCCTGACAACCCTGAGCATTATGTGTAGACTGGGCAGGGCCCACAGGCTCAGGACCATGCCGACCAGCTGCAGGGCGGCGTCTTTCAAATTCTGGGAGAAAAAACGTCGGACGAAAGTCATTGAGGAGAGTAACGAATACAGATACTAGCAAGGTTGGCACTCGAATGGATGAGTAACTCAGCGGACGCGCACAATTTCGACTTCACTTCAACCTTGTGCGGAGTTGAATTAAAGCTCGAGTCGAGGAGTGTCACGCGAGGGTCCTTGGGCGGTCGAGAAATGAAAGCGCATGATTGTCCACCGCTTCGCTGGATCCACTGGCAGTTTTTTGATTGCGCTAGAGCGCACTACGCCGACATATGCTAGTCTGCTAGATGCGATTCACTCTCAAGATCTCCTCTGTTCTCCCATTTACATTTAGGGAGTTCTCACACGCTAGCTGGGGTAGAGAAGTGTGCGGAACATGTACCGTGTGTTGTCGTAGTAGTCAAACTTTCTTCAGCAGTTTATAATTGGTGCACGTCCCCTTCCCTATGGATCTCACCGAGGACGAGAACGTCGAGCGCATGTCGAGTGGACAGCTGTACATCCCTGGCAAGGCGAGACTGGATGAGCTCAGGACCACAGCTAGATTGTGGTGTAGACAGTTCAATGCCACCGATGACTCCATCACTGGTGTCTGTCCACAACGAGAAGAGCTCATGAAAGGTAGTTGGCACTCCACACAGGCATTTCTCACTCGATGGCGTTTTAGGTTTCTTCGGAGCGTGCGGTGAAGGAGCGGTCATTGAACCTCCCTTCCGATGCGAGTACGGCTTCAATGTATTCATAGGGGATGGCTTCTACGCTAACTACGACCTTGCCATACTGGACTGTTGCCCAGTCCGTATCGGGAACAATGTGAGTGATGCAGATGTTGTGCTTGTTAAGGTCATACACAGGTTCTACTCGGTCCAGGCGTACATTTGTACACAGCAGAGCACCCGTGAGTCGTCACTGCCGACCATCGTTGTTGTCACTACTCCCTCTAGGCGTTCCGTTGCCGGGCGGGCTACCTGTGTCGAATTTGGCGCACCAATTACGATAGGAGATGACGTGTGGATCGGAGGTCGTGTTGTGGTCCTCCCAGGAGTCACCATCGGGTCAGGCTGCATTATAGGAGGTGGCAGTGTTGTTACCAAGGTAAGTGTCTATACTGCTGATCACGCATCATGGTGATGTCAGGATATCCCTCCGCACACGATCGCGGCTGGCAATCCATGTAGACCTATCAAGGCGGCCCCTATGGAGCCTACCGATGAAGAGAAGGAATTTTTCAAGAAGTATGGGATACCGTACGACTCGCGAAGTCCTTGCGTTCACTAGAAGACTGTGTCTGCGTTCACTCTACAGTTGTTATGAAGTTTGACTCAACCACCGACTTGTGTTTGACATCGTCACTAATACTAACTGCATGTTTGAATTCAATGGAGTCTCACTCGTTTATGTGAGGTGGCGTAATACTCTGTGAAAAACGAGGTATTCGCGGCCTGTAGCAGTCTTGAAATATATAACTTACTAGTATTTTTCACCTCACGACACTTTAACGTTGTTAGTCTACGGAAAGTTTAGAAATTGGTCGATTATTATGATCGAGAAAGTTGGTCAGTTGAATACAAGGAGGACGGTTAGCTTTGAGGAGTATTAGTGATGTCACTTAAGATCGTCTCTGATGAGGATAATCGAGAGCGTATGTTGCGTGGGGAGCTTTATCACCCGATGAAAGAAGGCCTTATACAGCTCCGAGCCAAGGCTAAGGTGTGGTGTAGGCAGTATAACCAAACCGACGATGATGCAACTGATTTCATTCAAGTTAGAGAGCGACTTTTGAAAGGTAGCTCACAGCTGATCGAGATCGGGCGTCGAGAGTTGCCTTATAGGCGCTCTGGGTAGCTGTGGCAAAAGCCCTTTCATTGAGCCGCCCTTCCGCTGTGATTATGGCTCCAATATATATATCGGTGATAACTTCTATTCCAACTACGATCTTGTCATACTTGACACATGTCCTGTCCGGATCGGGAACAACGTAAGGTCGGAGGTTTTTAGCCGAACTTGAATATCTTGTAGGTCTTCCTCGGGCCTGGTGTGAATCTATACGCTGCGGACCATCCGTGAGTCGGGTATATCAGGACTGGATTCGAATTTTGAGCTGGCGATGCTTGTGGTTATTGCTAGATAGAATCACCGATATAGATATTGCATTATCGCGCTTATTTGAACTATGTTGATTATGTTATTTCATGTTAGGAGGGCAGCCTCGGCGCGTAAGCATCTCATAGAATATGGCGCACCAATTACGATAGGAGATGACGTGTGGATCGGAGGCCGTGTTGTGGTCATCCCAGGAGTCACCATCGGGTCAGGTTGCATTATAGGGGGTGGCAGTGTTGTTACCAAGGTAAGTCAGCACGCCTCTACTCTCTCTATCGGCCATTATCAGGATATTCCCCCTGGCATGATCGCAGCTGGGAATCCATGTAAAGTGATCAAAGCGGCCCCCATAGAGCCAACTGAGCAAGAGAAGAAGTTCCTTCTGGATAACGGCATCATCTAGGCGGCTTAGCTCGACAGCATTTTTTATCATTTGCGTGTCCGCGACGTTATGTTGAGTTCGCAGTACATCGCTGAAGCCCACATTGGATCCTTTCAATGAATGCATCGGAGGAAGAATACATGGCGTCAATGAGAAGCGGTAGTTTATTCAAGCTAGAGGTTGATGTATTCAGAAAGTGGTATTCGCGAGCTAAAGGTCTATGCGAGCGATACAATGCGACCAGCGACAACGTGCAACCCTCAGAGATCGACAACACTAGGAAGGGCATATTACGAGGTTGGTCTAGAGGCAACAGATGTGATCATTTATTTGATTCCTCCATGTAGAACTGCTACGAGCTTGCGGTGATAAGGTGGACATTGAGCCGCCATTTCGCTGTGATTTCGGATTCAATATCAGCATTGGCGATTCCTTCTCAGCTGGACCGAAGTTGGTCATCTTAGATGCGTCTACAGTGGAGATAGGGAATGATGTCAGTCGCGACTGTCGGGCATTCGTGCTAACACTCTTGTTTCTCAAGGTTCATTTTGGTCACGACGTTCACCTCTACGCTGTTGACCATCCGTAAGTCGCTCACGTATTGCTGGTCCTACCACTCAGCATAGGCGTTCGGCCTCCGCTCGAGGGACGTGGGCCCTGTCCGGCAGTCCCATAAGAATAGGAAATAACGTCAGCATTGGGACGGGTACAATTGTCATGTCTGGCCTGAGTATAGGCGACGACTGTATCATACAACCTGGCAGTGTTGTCACTCGAGTAGAGGAATGGTGGTTGTGTGGAGATGCCACGTTTTTGAGTTCAGGACATCCCTCCTCGTGTGATTGCAGGAGGAAATCCTTGCCGCATAATGCAGCAACGCCAATGTTGATTCACCCATGATAACCAAGTGCTAGTTCACCGTCTTGACTTCGGTGCTGAGTTAATCACGTTCGTATACGCCTTTCCTTGACAAGAATGTGCCACACTTGAGTGGTATGAACTCTGAGTACTTTTAAACCTCTTCTGGTAGTGTGGATATACAGACTACCAAAGGCAGCCGAGCGATGCTCGCCTTGTCTCGGTTTGTTGGGTTAAATCATTCAATTGAACTGAGGTCTCAATTCCAATGATCGATGGTCGTGGTAAGCATGTCACTGCTACGCTCGTGGATGTTCTAGTCGCAGTTGTATTCACTATAACGCAAAGAAGGGACATAGTAAAAGTGTCATATTAGACATCAGTAATCAGAGGTGGTTCATAAGAACATGATGCTATATAGTAGAAATCATTCTCGTCATGGGAATCGTTCGCAGTAGAATCACGCCGCAACGCCTAGTGAAGAGGGAAACTATTCCGCCAAAATCCGCGATATCTTCACCTCGTCAAGATCCTTCTTGTTTATCGTGATCTTACCCTTTTGGACTCGAACGGTGTGTGTGCTTGCCTTGTCCAATGGTGGTGACTCTTCCCCTGAAATAGGGCGTGGAACACGGCGGTGATAGACACCAGCTAACCTGGCTTGTTCGTGGAAGGATCTCCCACGATCACGTTTTCGGCATCATCTTGCAGGCGCCGAATTTCCACTAGAACTTCCTCTCGGAGGTCTCGATATAGGTCATGCATGGTCTCGGTTACTCCCGCTAACTGCAGAGGACGTTCGTGACGAGTACACTGAATAGTCATGTCCGCGACTTGCTTCATTATGTAGGGCGTTTAAATGGTCATGTATCACTGAAATCCGGTCTTTGAACGCGTCAATACTGGGAGGTGGTAAGACGCTGCGTAACTCCTCCAATAACTTCTCGAAATCAGGCCAATAGGCTCCTGATGGGAGGCGGACACGAGAGCTCCCCTTTTACACAAGGCTTGACACTAATATGCCAACCGAGGCAAGGTAGCGATGCGATGTGATACACCACAGTTCGAGGATGAGTTGATACATTCGAAATGTTGTCTATGAGAAGGAAAACACTTCCTGGGTCGGTGCGGGAAAATATGCGCATGGTCGACGGCACTTGCTGAGGACAGCGGGGGAATTCTGAGAAAATTTTGCGGAATCCCCGTTGGTATTTAGGCACTAGGCTGAGTCGTGTGTGAATTTCCATACTATGGTGAGGGGACTCCTAAGCTCAGCTGAGGGAACTAGGAATGCATTCTAACCTGTGGAGCCCCGGTCCTGGGGATCACCATTGGGGTGGGGATCAGAGACACTGACGCACTTGAGCCTCCGTATAGTGAGCGTGACCGGAAGGAATCTAACAGCCATCAGAGTGCTACACGATACTGCCCCCCGCAGGAAATGAGAGGTTACTTCAGCATCTCACGGAAGCGTGCTTCGCCAACTAGTCTAACATCAATCGCGTTTATGCGTATAATCTCGTCGCCGCCTCGAATTCCACACCCAAAGGCAATTCCGCCATCGACAACTGAATCCACCTTCGGAAGATACTGAGCAATGACCGGAGCAGAATGTACAGCAAGACAAATGGATTGCCCTGCAGGCAGATTAGGTCGCATAACTCACCCCTTTCCAATCGAGCCTCATACCGCAGTCACCATCGTCCCCGATGTGTTTCCGACCGCTGTGATACTGCAAGGTTATGTTCATTTCTTCCTCGTCTCCTCTAGCTGAGGAGCCGTCCCACGAGGTGCTACCAGATTCCGACCTAAGCACGGTTGTTAGGGTCTCGACCATCGGGATAATCGTCCTACTCTTCGGAGCTCCCATTATGTTCAAGCTTCTGACTCCTAGATTTTCCTAAGGTTCAATGCTACGGTCGTTTCCTCACGGTGGTTGGCGTACTATGACGACGGGCTTTCTCGGTTAGCGCGGCTCGAGTGCGCGCGACTATCTCTGAAGTCTCCTCTACCAAGTCGCCCATGAACGTCTCATATTCGGCCTGAACAGCAGTAGTTGTTAAGACGAGTTTCCAACGTAATAATAAGTAGTCCCCACGTCTGTGAGTTGCCCTGGTTCCCTATCGTTCTGACTGAATGCCCCTGATCGAACAGTGGCGTTTATCATACCATAAATTCACGACATCAGGCCTTACCTCGACCCTGGAGTCTCCTAGACGATTGCGTCGAAGACGGCAAGACCTACGTGACGATAGGAGCATGCCTCTGCGATAGGAGTGCCTTTTACTGATAAATGATCTCTGGACTTTAGACTGGCTAGTATAGCGATGGCTGACCTTTGGCGTTCAGGGCCAATCTCATCGCCTGAGATCGTTGAGTTGTAGGTGTGATGGTATGATGTATGCCTACTGTCACGACGGTTGAGTCTGTAGTATCCATATCGGGATATATAGCGAGTTAATGCCGCATCTAGTTCTGCAAGAGGATGTAATTCCACTGGAGGGTCTACGTCCTCATCGGCCTCTTCAATGCTGACAACAGCATCTCATTATAATCTCTGCCATAAAGCGATGCATTGCTCGTCATTGAAGAGCACTATGTGGTCTATACTGTCGCTACAGAGACGCTCGGCTTTCTGATTATCATTGATTTTGTTGGTTTTCCCAAGTCTGATTTCACTCAGGGAGTAACGCCCACTCACTCATCTGCTGGGTCTTCAAAGGGCGAGGTCATCTTCTATGAGTGCTATGACCACACGACGATGATGATGATGATCAGTGTAGAACAAAATCCGAGGAAGAATAACAAGAGACAACGCAAGAATATAGACTCAAACATGAATGGAGTCGTAGGAGGAGGGCAACCCAAAGCCCAATCACCGAACCGAACTACGATACACGTCGGGATAATCTTATGCCGGCCATATAGCTGAGTAAGGAGCGTTAGGAATTCCTACTTTTGTGGTACGCCATAAGGAGCAATTCACAGGAGGTTATAGCCCTACTTTTCGGAGTGCCGATGCAACAAGCGAGGGGCAAATCTTGCCAACTTGCATAGACTTGAATTTCCTTATTTTTCTCGACGCAGTTCATGTGCGATCGTCAGGAGTTGTTGTTCCTCATAATCATCTGTTGGGATTGGTTACCTTATTAGGCATATTATTTTCCTAACGTGGCGAGCGGCGCTCTAGTGCTACTTCCGACACAGCGGATACATAGTTATTGATAGAAGTACTTAAAGGAAGCAGTATGGCATCGCAGGAAAAGTGTGTTTATGTTGGCAATCTCGATTGGACGGTAAGTTGGTATTACACCACATCTATGAGGAGCATCGTCACCTCAGATTACCGAAGATGAGCTCGGTGATCACATGAAGGCGGTCGGGCCTGTCGTGTCGGTCGAAATTATGACTAGACATGATGGGAAATCTAAAGGCTGCGGGTAAGTCGAAGCTTGTACTCTTCGTCATTGATTGACGCCTCTTAGAATCGTCGAGTTCAAG